TCCGAGTCACCACTGCCCCTCCAAATCCCACCACCATACACTGCAGATCAGCTGGCGGGACATCTCCTGTCTCTCGCCCTCTCCCCTTCCCCCTCCCCCCCCCCAAAACAGCAGTGAAAAAAAAACCTTCCCCTTTCTCTTCTTGCAGGACTGAGAGTCCCACGTGTGAGCTGAGTCTCAAAATACACCAACCACAGTCAATCAAAGAGTTAATAATTTAAAAATGTCGTCATCATATTTACCAGCACTGTTGAATTATTTCAGTATTGTTCCCTCCCTCCCCCCTCGTTATATATAACAATATACATAACTTAAAAGCACATCCATGTGAAACCCCTACAGGCTGCTTTTTTATAAATGAGAAACCATATACATATTTTTTTGCCTGGAATGAAATCCATTCTTAAATACCTTCAGAGAACAAGAGGTTGGACAAGTGCACAGAGAAGAAGGGAAGGAACGGGAGGGGAAGAGTTAACAGAACCCCAAAAGATGCAAAAGAACCAGCATGGAATGAGGAGAAGGGCGAAACGACACTTGCGAATCGGAAAATAACTCTAAGGTAATAAATGCAAGGTTTTTCTCTCTTCTTTCCAGAGGTGGGGAATGGTTTTGCTTCTGCTTGTGGTTTTTTATTTCCATTTGCTTATTTCTTGCTTTGTTGCAAAGCAGTTTTCCTTTCCATTCAGTGTGCAACAAATGAACTCATGATTGTGTATCCTTTCATGTAACATGCAAGATGGTGGCTTATTGTATTGTTAACTATATTATTGTTGTTATTATGATTTTTTAAATCTTATTTCTTCACCAATCCAGTAAATTCTTCAATTTATCTGCAGAGGGTTGGCTTTGTTTGGTGGTGGTGGTGTTTGCTATTCGTTTCCAGCATATAGCAGCAGTGCAAGGATGCATTTTGTTTCCTGTTTTTATATATATATATATATATGTATGTATGTATATATATATATAATATATTTGCTATTCCTTTTTTTAAAAATTTTTTGTCTCTCGCCATGAACATTGCAGCCAGGATGTCTATGTCTTGCTGACAAATCCAGCATGAAGGCTCCTTCTCCGCAGTTCTCCAGGTTTGAATACAGATGCCGACTTCCATGAACATGTTGGTCAAGATTCCTGTACAAGGCAGACGGATACGACCAGTCATGGGGTGCTGATTTCTTCACCTGCAAAAGGGCTCCTCTTTCCACAAGGGCACTGGACAGTAAATTTGCAAACACCTGGGGCCACAGTTTGCACGTAATTACCAGGACCCCTGGTAACGAGCAGGAACTCTTGGTTCCCTGGGCTGGTGTTGGTGTACGGGGGAGATAACGGTGGGTCACTGCTCCCTTACTTTAAGCTATTCAATTAAAATCGAGTGGCTCCGCAAGCGATGCAGAAGCGTCCGGGCTTGCTCGTTTGTACTGTGCCACAGGAGGTAAGATTAGGCAGATGCAAGAGCCTCTTCTGACCTTCCAAGCTGCAACGGAGCTGGTTGCTTTACCAAGCTTAAAAGCTGCCAGTCAAAATCTTCAGATGATAAAGCAACATCAAATTACGTTTGCAAAGCAAATGCAAAATGCACCTGCAGCTCTGGCTGCTGACAGAGCTCCTCGGACATTTTTCAGCAGTGGAGCTGCCCCTCTCCTTTCCACCCTGCTCCTCTGGCCCTCAGCTGCTCCGGCACAGAGGTCCGTTGGACTGTGCCAGCACCAAAGAGCTGGAGTAACCTGGCTGGTGGGGGGCAACGGGGTCAGAGAAGGGGTTTAAGAGTGGGGCAGGACTCCTCAAGCCAGCTTTGCCCTCAAGAAAAATGTCTGGGGCTGTGACTGCTTTGGGGCATCTGCGGGGAGATGCAGACCTGGTGTGCTGCTGCCTGCACCTGCCTGTGTATAAAAAGACAATCTGGGGATCTGAAGGGGACTAAAGGAACCTCTGTTTTTTGCAAATGCTGCTCTGAGGCTTTGGACTGGCTTTGCAGAACCTGGAACCTCTCAGCCCATCCACAAGAAAAAAAAAACACCCTGGGGGGACAAGCAGGTCCTTTCCTCTTTATGCCTCTGAGCCCTCTGCTGAGCAGGACAGCGAGGTGACATCTGCAGAACTGCTTTTGGTGGCAGGGCTCCAGCTTTCTAACCACAACCAGGTGGCCATGCCTGGAGCCACCACCACACTGGAATAGCCGGCTGAGACCTGCCACTCTTGGTGCCAAGGACCAGCAGCACCCACCAGCACCCACCGCTGGGGAGGCTGAGCCACTTGCCCAGTCACACCCCTCCTCAGGCAGCGGGTACAAACCATAGCTGGTAACTTCTACACCTACCTGAGGTTTCTTGTCCCTTTCCTCTGGAGAAGGTTCTGTTTCTCTGTACACCACAGCTTTGGTTACCAGCATGTCGGGATGCTGTAGTTTTGCCTCTTTGATTGCTAAAGCCAGTGCCTAGAAACCAGAAGGATGAGAGCGTTTATCGTCACTTCCCCAAAATCTGGTACCTACAGAACCAGCGGACAGGATCTGAGTGGGATTCCAGGAGGAC